CGTATACTAGTACCCCAGTTCTTAAGTGCGAATTAGTTGCACCTACGTGCTTTTGGATCCTATATATTATGTATGTATGGAAAGGTGTTTCTTATAAGTTACCGGTATCTGCATCGATATTAGGCAGGGGTCAACACAGATGGGTCCACTGTGAGAGTTGCAGCTTACAGAAATGCCCCTAATATGAAGCGAACCAGCTGAGGGAGTGTCAAACACCTTCAGCTGGCCCAATAGCTAGCTGGCCCAATAGCTTATACTTCCTCCATTCCGCAATACTGGAGATATTGGTTTTGGCCATATTTTTATCTTATTGTTTGTATACTCGGCATGAAGGAAAACTGTATGTTTATTCATAAACTTGACTTTACGACAAGAACAAACATGATATGTTGCAAGTCAGGTCGTCATGGACTCGACAATTGTGCAGAGGTGATCAATATTGGACGTATTGATCACTGCCTCAATATCACAAGCGGACAACACACTAGATAGGTTATCTACCCTGCGTTCGAAATCCTTCCGGGCATTCATCGCCTCGATAACTTTGACCACGTCTGGATCACACAAGACAAGTGCGAGTGCGGCAATTTGAACGAGTTGTCGCCGCCCATCTTCAATGACTCACCCATAACCCTCTGAAGGGTCAAGAATGCATTGCGAAGAATGCGCCAATCGAGGTTGTCAAAAGCTCTGTGCACGGCAGCAACTAGGTCGTCAATACTGGTAACAACTTCACTGTGCTTCAAGGCCTAGATCGAGTTGAAGAACCCAAGGTCCAAAACGTTGAAGTCGGGGCTCATCGCCGGCTGTGCCACGAGTCGAATCGACCAGTCGTCCGAACAACCCGCCATCGTCACGTCAGCGTCGTCGACTTCAACATGCGGTCGCGCATTGTCTTGTTGGATGTAGATTGGTTCACTGCGTCGACCTGGCCAAACCTCCTTGATCGTCGGGATCACATGCTTCAGCAGATACTCCCGGTATACCGGCTTGGTAACAGCCACCGGCGTCGTCACGGGCGTTCCTCGGTCGCGGTTCTTGCTCTTCCTTTGCGCTGGCACTACCGACACGAAGTGCCACATGCCGATTTTGCCGTCCCACATCGTTCGCGAATTGTAGTCGTAGCGCGGCCGGCCACGGCTGTCAAAAACATGACCTTGATGATGTGGCACTTTGAGGAACAATTGCGGATCGGTACGGCTTCGTCATGCCATAGGTAGTACCGGCGGTTCACCAGCGTGAGGTAGAACCACTTTTCATCGATGTGCACACGGTCGTGCATGTCATCCCACCGCATTGGGCCACTGGCTGTCGAGCGAACAAAAGGCCGAACGAAGTCCACGCGGTCAGCCTTGTGCTTGTCCGTCACCATCGGCTTGAGTCGACTGGTCCGCCGTTCAAGCGTCCTTGTCTGAAGGACGCGCCATAGCGTTGTCGGTGGGATCCCACTGGATGCTGCCAACGAAGCGAACGTCTCGCGCAGATGCGGAGGAACACTCTTAACGGCAGCCTCGACCTCGTCCATGGTGCACTTTGGCCGCCGCCCCGAATGACCCTTCCTCTTCAATGCCACGTCAGCTCGGCCATCCTGGGACCGAGTTTCTTGTCCCCGCTTCCAAACTTTGGAGAGGGTCTGCCTTGAGATGCCATACTTCAGAAGGAGCTCGGAGGCCTTGCCCCTTGCCAGGCGACCGCTTTGCTTGTTCTCCAGAAGGTCGTGGTACAAACTCCAACGTTGGTCGTCGGGAAGGTCTTGGTTGGTCGTCGGGAAGGTCGTGGTTGGTCGTCGCGCGTGACATGGTGACGCGTCGACAACTTGTCCTACCGAATTTTTGGCCGCCGCCCCGAACGACCCTTCCTCTTCAATGCCACGTCAGCTCGGCCATCCTGGGACCGAGTTTCTTTTCCCCGTTTCCAAACTTTGGCGAGGGTCTGCGTTGCTATATCGACGCAACGAGACGAGTGCGTTTTTGCTTGATTTGAGCCCGATTGGATGCGAAATGACTGAGCTGCGTAAATTTGATGATTGGCTGTCATTTGTCGGGATAAATGATCCTTAGTTGTGAAGCGCCAAGAAGCAATAAAAAAATCTGAAAATAGCTTCGTACTTGTCGTTTCATTGGCTTTCGTTGGTCCAGATTTCGCTCGATTTTGGAGGATTTTGCCATAGATATTCATTTGATAGTGATATGTCTCCAGTATTGCATGGAGGAAGTAATAAACAACGTGCATACTATTGTGCTTTGCAACAAAGTCAAAAGTGGGTGTATACGGCGTAAGCATAGGATAAATCAATGCTAACGTTACAAGGGTCGTTGGAAATGTAAGCTTACTCGCCACCAACGTTAGCGATGTTAGTGTACGGTCTCTATGCTACAGTTCTCTCTGGTTTCTACCGTCTTTCAGCCACAACTCACTACTACTTCATGTGTCTCTTTGTTCTGTTGTTTG